CACTCCTCCTCTTATTTTTCTCTCATATTTCTGTACCTATATGTGTCTTTATATATACATACACAAAAACACATATATAGCCCATATTAAGAATTCTCAAATTGTCCCCAAAATGTTTTTATAGCTTTTTCCCCCCTATGCTGTGATCTAATCAAGAAGCACATATTTCATTTGTTGTCTTGACTCTTTAATCTTTTTTTAATTAAAAAAACAATTCTTGCTTTTTTGGTCATCTATGACACTGATTTTTTTTTCGATTAGGAAAATATTTTATTCTAGTTATAATGTCTAGTGCAGATGGGGTATATACATTAATATAGGAAGCAGTTTGGCAATATTTACCAAGAGCCTTTAAAATATTAATAGCCGTTGACTCAGCAGTTGAATTTCTGTACATTTATCCTAAGTAATCACAGCAAAGATTTATATGTAAAGATGTTCAGTGCAGAATTATTTAATTAGGAAAATTTGAAAATGACTCAATAGCTAAACAACAGTAAATAATTGTCATAAGACAATATTATGCATTTATTTAAAATTATACTTTGAATAATGGGGAAATTTTTGTGAAACTTTAAACAAAAAAGTAGTATATAAAACTCTCACTCTGTGTGTGTGTGTACATGTATAATTTAAGACTTACTGCTAAGGACTGAATTGTGTCCCCCCCAAATCCATATGTTCCAACCCCCAAATCCATACGTTCCAACCCCCAATGTGCCTATATTTGGAGAAAGGGCCTATGAGGAGGTGAGAAAGGTTAAATGAGGTTATCAGAGTGGGGCCCTAATCCAATAGGGTTGGTGCCCTTATAAGAAGAGGAAGAAATATCAGAGTTCTTTCCTCCACTGTATGAAGACACAGTGATGAGGTGGCTATCTGCAAGACAGGAATAGAATCCTCACCAGAAACCAAATCCTGGACTAGCCAGTTAGCTCAGTTAGTTAGAGTTAGCTAAGAGTGTAGCCTTATGGGCCGACCCCATGGCTCACTTGGGAGAGTGCGGTGCTGGGAGCAAAGCGGCGCTCCCTCCGTGTGGTTCAGATCCTATATAGGGATGGCCAGTGCACTCACTGGCTGAGTGCGGTGCGGGCGACACCAAGCCAAGGGTTGCAATCCCCTTACTTACTGGCCACAAAAAAAGAAAAAAAAAAAAGAATGTAGCCTTATAACACTAAGGTCATGGGTTCAGATCCCCATATCGGGTAGCTGCCAAAAAATAAAAAATAAACATAAATAATAATAATAAAATGCAGAAAGCAAATCCTGCCGGAATCTTTACCTTGGACTTTTTAACTTCCAGAACTTTGAGAAAATAAATTTCTGTTGTTTAAGCCACCTAATCTATGGTATTTTGTTATAACAGCCTGATCAGACTAATGCACTTATGTAAATAAATCTATACAATTATGGGAAGAATTACTGGGAAAATCCAAAATATTAGCCAAATTTGTCTCTGGCACTTGGGATTGTGGCTTAAATTTTCCTAAATATTTAACAACATACTTGTTTTAATTGTTAAAAGTTATTATTAAGAATAATGGAGTAATTTAGTCCTTGTTCTTGATCTGGGTTTGCTGCTGTCTCTCTGTGTGACTTCGGAAGTCTTTCCACTGTCTACTTCAGTTTCTTATGTTTCAAAAAGGGAATGTTGGTCTAGATGATCTTTAGTATTTATCTAGCTATAATGTCATATGACCCTATGACTTCCTAGTGGTGAGATTCTTTTGCATGGATGGCTCCTTCACTACCTAGTGTGTTAGGATCAATCCTCTGCAGCCACTTGGGAGATATCTTCAAAATATTTTCAGAAATCACTGAATTGCTGCCTGAAAGAAACCCTTGCTCTTAGACATTGATACAGAGTTTCCCTAGCCCTAATTATTTGAATATATTCTTTTTTTTTTAGGTTAAATTTTTTTTTTTAATTTTTAATTTTTTTTCCTTAAAATTTTTATTTTGTCGATATACAGTGTGGTTGATTATTATGGACCATCACTGAAACCTCCCTCCCTCCTCCCTCTCTCCCCTCCCACCCAACAATGGCCTTTCCGTTTGCTTGTTGTAACAACTTCAAAAGATTGTAGTTGTTATATCTTCTTCTCCC